GCAAGACGATCATTAATACGTGTTTTTTTGACTTGTATATATCAGATTGTGGTGCATCAGAAATTGTATTTTTACACAAAACGAGTACAAACTAGAACACATTTCACGAAATCTAGATGATTATGTTGAATTTGACACCATAAGGGTGGAGGTGTAAGAAAAAAATCATAGTTGAGGGGGTCAATGTAATTATCCAAACAAGAAGGGTTTTTTCGTAAAAACATCATACCTCGGGGTTGTTGTAATTTACCCCATACATTGTGTTAAATAAGATTACATATAATAACATAATATGACATATTTAAATAATTTTAATTCCAATTTGAAAAAAAGAAAAAAAAAAAAAAAAAAAACGTGAAGAAACCACCGCCATAGAAATCGAGGTCCCATGCATGGAATATAAATATGTTCGTATTATAGAGAAATTGATTGCTTATTCCAAAATGGCTCACTCGTGTAGGTGATGTATTTGACTAAAATATTGCATGGACTATTGATATATATGATTTGTGATTTTCCAACAACCATTTATTATTTGTTCAAGTGTCGGTTCTTCATCTTGGAATTAATATGCATATCCATAATTCAACCGACACAAATGTACATACATATCGATCAATATGAGTACAAAATTTTCTTTACAACATTTTATATTGTATCTATCACCCCTCTCCACCCATTAAAAGAAAAGAAAAATTAAAGATATTTTCTTTTGTGATTGATGACTACTCTACGATAAAAGTATGACGTTTTTGAAAAGTTTAAAGTATATATGAAAAACAATAATTGTGAATTAAAGATGTAAGAAAATAAATGCACTTAGAACTGATAATGATACTGGGTTTTGTAATTGTGATTTTTGATGATATGTGCACTCTTATGTGTATAGTCTATATGGTTCTTGCACAAGCTGGAAATTTTTATTGCATAATATTGTTACTTATCTATCACTGAATATGAGTATATTGTTGTTATTGAAGCTTTGAAGAAGCAATTTGATTGAAAGATTAAATTTCTGAAATTGGATTTTTGAGTAA